TTTTAAGAACATGTTTTATAACATGTGTCACTCCTTCAAATTCAATTGATAACCTGCTGCTCTCTGTGGAGCATTAGAAACGTGAGCTTTGGATGTGTGGAAAAACACAAATATGACCTCAGAAGGTTCTTGTTTTGTACTTGGTGTTTTTCCGGACAAGATTTTGTGAGGTAAAGATATTGATCATGACTATTGGCTTTTCTATTTCTCTGTTCATATATTGTATAATTTGCTGAAATTTTAGATTATGTTATTTTCGATGTTAAATTTTTAGTTCTTATAATTATCTCTTACAACATTCACAAATTCATATTCTGATCAGAATATATAATAGGTTCATTAATTTATCAACTGTTATGCAGAACTGGCTGCACAGCTTACACTGAACCTCAAAGTTAAATCTGCTAATTCGATGACAGTGGTGTAATTATGTGGAGAGCTCCCATTTGACTTGTTGCCTGTTGACTGGAGTTTCTGCACACGAAGAAAATGCTGATTTCAGATTAATAGAAGCTATCCTGGAAGACATCTGGCCTGGAGGGAAAGTGGTAATGTGGTATATTTCATGTGTTGTATACAAAACCTCATTTATAGGGTTCAGAGTGACAAGTGTGGATCATATAATAAATAAGTAAAAAACTGAAGATTTCATAGAGTGTTCACTCCATGGTACAGATTTATTTTCAGGATTGCACACATTGTGACTTGTTCAAGCTATCTTGTTGGCCTACATTTGTGCGTGTGGGGATGGGTTCAGGTGGTGAGCTAATTTAATGTGGGAAATTTGTTAACTTTTCACCTCTTTTTTTCATGGAACTTATAGAGACGTTTTCATGGTGATGCCAACTGTCAAAAAATAATATGACTTGCTGATGAATCGATCTCATACAAACTCAGAATTTCCTATTGATAGCATATTCTTCTATTATTATGATGTAGATGAATTTAAATGTGTACGTGATTATTGAGATGATCATGATGCATTATGGTTGTTGTCGATTAGGGGATCTGAAATTTGAGTAGATTTTTATATGTACTAGTATATACTAAAGTAGGCTGATAAATTTTTAGATTCAGTGTTACAGTTTTTAAGCTTGTGAAACAAAAGAAACCGGAAATTTTGTGGTGTTAGAAGTTGTAAACAAGGTTATTATGCTCATAATTAAAATATAGGAAAGGACCCCAACAAAATATTTTGTTCGCTGTGAATTTCAACTCCTGGTATAAGGACTGCAAATGTAGCATACATTTCTTACCCTTACCACCCCACCCAACAAATCAACTTTTTTGAGTTTTCCTTAGCCCTTTTGTCTAGTGAGCTGTATTCTGAGAATACATTTTCTTGGCTATGACTGTGACACTCAATATGGTACCTACAGTTGACATAGCTTTGTAACAAATTCAGGTCCAAAATTCTCTACTTGAAATGGAAAATCAAAAATAATTGCTGGGTTGTGTTTCCCATTACAAGAAATTTAGGGGTTATTCTCTTTGTATTTCAGTTTTGTATTTTGAGTTTTGAATTCATTTTGGGTTGTGTTTTGAGTGTCAATTTTGAGATTGTTGAAAATGTGTTCTTTTTTATATTTTGAAAAATTGTTTTGAAAATACCCAAAACGCGTTTTGAAAATTTTGGTTTGATTATAACTGAAAACACCCAAAACGATAAATTTGTCGTTTTGAGTTTTCTTTGTAAATTTTTAACTTGTTTTTTAAAACGCGTTTTCGAAAATAGGAAAGAGAACGCGTTTTCACTGTTTTGGAAAATCGAAAATAGAAAAAGGCATGAAAATGGTATAGAGAACAGACTCTTAGCTTCTTCTCTCGTTCCTAGTAGACTAGGATGTTCCTGTTTGTTTAATCTTAGTTAGGTAACTGCTAAGTTTCTTCATATTCCAATTCGAGCAGGATAAGGACTGTAGCACATAAAGTTTAAAACTTATTTAGACGAAAATCTTGTTGTATTTAAACAGAAATCTATATCTTCAATGATTGTTATTTTGAATACATTAGTTTGTTTTGAAAAGGTGGTTGGTCATTGTGATGATCTAAGTGTTGTGTGTGTAAGTACTCTGAATCATTTTACTTTGAGTAGACAAAAACGGTCAACCAATTTGAGTTATGGTTGATGATGATAACAATAGATTAAATGCTATTTACCTCAAACTTCAAATAACCTTCTATCAAAGACAAAGCAATCAAGAATTAATCAAATCAATGTCAAAGATGGAGAGATCCAATGTTTGGACTCAATTCTAATCATTATTTCCCAAGATTGTGCTGGTGGGGTGGGGGATTTTAACTTTAGTGTGATAATGGGTAAAGTGTAAACAAGATTATGAAAAGGGGTTGTTTTATATCAGATTAGAATAAACATTACTTGTACCTATTTTACGCGTTTATTTTGTAAAGACTTTTGGTTTGAACTCAAATTTTAAAATTTTAGGTATAGGCTTCTAGTATCGATGCTTTTTTTATATGCGGGCATGAAATCAAAGATCGCACTTTGCAAAACAGTGCGATCTTTTACCGATGTTTGTATAGTTTTGTTCATACAAATTATCTTAACTGTGTTTAGGAATGATTGTCCTCATTTAAATGATACAATTCTGTCAAAATGATAAATCTCTCTTCGTAACACAACTCTCCATTTGTATATAGAGGTGTTGAAATAGATTCTTGTGTTGCTTGGCACAGCCTCTGAGGCAGTTATATTAGCGAGTCTCATCCCGTTTTGCACCCTTATTTGTATATTCTTGTATATAATCAGGTTAAATGATCGTGTATCTAAGAGTGGTTTTCGACAAAATCAAGAGCAACCATTGAGGAGGAATATACGTATCTGACTTTGCAAAACTTACTAGTGTTTTGTACGTAAGGAGAATATGATTATAAGTAATTGATCATATTATAAGTTTTGAAGGAGCAAGCAAACGCCATTCAGCTAGTGATACCTAAAACAGACAAAAAGAACATCGAAAAAATGTAAAATGACAACTTTCTTGGAGCAATCAAAATCCAAATGAATTGCTTCATGAAATGGAGTTTACCCTATTATCACCATTGGTGTAAAGTAAGACACTATTGAAAAGGAAGTTAAAAAAATTATATATATATATATATAT